TTATCTGACCCTGTCAGGTAAATTGTCTGTCAGATACAGTTTCTCTATTTGCCATGTAAAAGTGATGTCATTGGGTATCTGCCTTTCTCCTTCTGGCTTATTTTCCCAAAGCCTAATCCCGCCCAGTTCCAGTGATGACATGAGTTTATCTGGTTTGGTTGCTGTCTAGCACCTATTCCACACGCTCTCCTTTAATGCCCAGTTTCCCAGCTGTGCTGAGGTGTGGGCCTGAGCTACACCCCATGGGATGGGGGAGAAATTTTGACTACCCCTGCCCTACCTGACCTATGAAAACCAATTTGCTCTTTTCCTTGTTTGTTGCTTTTTTTTTTTTTTTTATCATGTGAAGAGAGGAACCCTGGTGACACTGGAAGCCACATGTTGATGATATCAAAGCCCAGACCAGTCTGGTAAAGGAAAAAACTGGTGCCAACCATTGCACTCTTGCTACGATATGAACAAAAAAGCGGTCTCTTGAGCTTGACCCATCATACCTTCCTGTCGCTCACCTGTAGTAGTAGCACTTACTCTACCCAAACAATCACTTAGATTCAATGAAGAAATACACACCATTGGTTTTTTTCAATGCCTCCACCAGACACAAGGCTTCCTCTTGAATTCTGTCTTCAGTAGTCCTCTTCCCTACCCCCATATTCCGCAAAACCATGAGGGAGAAATGCCGGGTTTGCTTCCATGTCTCTCCATTGCTGAAAACAATTCCTGTCAGCAACAAAACAGAGCGGAATCATCTCCAGTATCATGAATTCTGCCCTGGAGTCTCTATCTCAGAAAATGGTAATAATAACACTTTAGTGGGGATGTAAATAGGGGCCTGGTAGCCTAGGAAATAACTCCACTTCTTCTTCCCTCCTCACCCCCCACTTCATCTGCTTCCTTTTCCTGCCTCAGGCTAATATCTTTCTATCAACATTCTTGGCTTTACATAATCATCCACTAGCTTCCCCACCTCAGTACAACACTGGGCACCAACAATTTTGTCCCCATTTTACTGATGCTGAAGATCAGGGAGGCAAAACGATGGCTTTAAGCTCACACAGCCCTTAAAGCTTGTGGAGTGTAAGTCATAGGTTACAGTGACAGTGCTGACCTTGATGCGTTCTATGTGAATTTTAGATGAAACAACAAAAGGAGTCATTCTCGAAGGAATAGACTGCAAGTGCATTGGGAGGAAGCTCATGAGAACCCCTTCCTCTGGTAATGGATATAGCCACAGCCCTGGTCATTTTAACATTTCCCCATGTATTTGTTAAATGGCTGCTATGAAAGATGGCCTTAGCACCAAGCAAAATGAACATCAGGCTCACAGAGCCAAGGCAAGACCAAGAAAAAATAAATAATGCACACAGGAAACTTATCTATGCAGTTCTTACAGAACAATGTAGGGGAGGAAGTGATGCCATTTTGGGTCTTATCTCCTTTTGTCTGAACCCAGTGGCACATCTGTGGACCAGATGGTTCCAAAACCAAATGGAAGATGATCTAATGCTTACTTTATAAGAACTATTTCTAATATCATTTCTAAGCCACACATGATCCTCCTGTTAGAATGTATTTGTGCATTCTTCTTTGTATTCTAGTACATTGAAAGACTTCTTAGGCTCTTTTAGGAGATTGAAGGCAAGGTTGGAAATACTCCAAACCTATGTTGACCCCATACATAGTAGACAAGCTTCCTAAAGTAGTCTTTTGGAAACCATGACTCAGGCCAAAAAGAAAATACTGATTGAATAGGATAAATCAGTCCTTTTCCTCCCTCTTTTTTTCCTTTTTATCTCAACTAAGCACAATTTGGAAATTAATATGGCTTAGTCACAAGTTCATAGACCATTAGTTGTTGCATTTAACATTTCACAGACACTGGGTCACTGGGTCATAATTTTAAATATGGATTAACCATAGAAAACTACTAGAATTATGATATTTTTCATACATTTCCTTAAATACTTTTCATCTCTCAATATCTTAGTCAAGTTGAAGCCTTTACAACTTACATGCCCATATCCATCCCCCCAAATAGAAATGTACCTGATCCTTTCAGGGCTTTGTCAAACAAGGGTATATGCCCTCTGCCAGAAAACACCTCCCCATTCTCAATCAGAGCCTCCTTGATCACTTCATACCCGTACAACACCACGGTAGGCTTCATGCCAAAATGCAGAGTGAACACAGGGCCATATTCTTCTGCAAACTAGAAAAAAGAGAAAAGAGAGAAAACAACATTGAGATTTTTAAAAGTAAAAAAGTAAATCAGTGATGTAATTATTTTTAATTTTACTGAAGGAACTTTTTAGGATTTTCTTTATTTTTGTGTAGAAGAAATGGGGTGTAGGCCAGAGGTGCCGGGGCAGTGAGAGGATTCACCAGAGAGAGTGGGGAGCAGAATAGGCAGATTGGCTGAAATACAGTGAGTGGGGCAGATGAGACAGGAGAGGTCTGCTGTGCCATGCGGGTCAGCTCCCTGAGCAGGGCTGGAACTCAGGTCCTAGTGGTGATAGTCCTGAGACTTAACCCCTAGGCCACCAGGGCAACCATGAAGAAGCACATTAATGTTCATCTCCCACTGTAGAGGATGTCAAGTTCTAGATTGAGTAAGCTAATGAGAAATCACATTAGTTTAATGGTAATTGGCATTATATTTGTTATATTGCTATTATCATAGTTAGCCTTTATTCAGCTCCTATTGTGTGACAGCTATGTTATAGACTTTATTCATATTGTTTTATTAACCTTTTTTGATTAACTTATAATTGTACCAAGTTTCTCTTCTTATAATTACAGTTAGTGATTTATTTCTCTGCCTGGAAGGGCATTTGCTCCATCTTGCCACACATGTAAGCCAATGATCATCCCTCCTTTTCCTTTCTCTCCTTTTTAGCACCAGAGATATCTAAGGTTTATTTAAGTGTTATTGATTTGCCACAAGTTTACATAACTGTGCAGAGACTGCTAACGTAATGGCCTATTCACAGATGTTCTCCATTTTTCCTGGGGACTAGGTTATTGAGTTTCCACGAACTGATTTTAGCAAAAGTGCTATGTGCAATCCTGCACTGTTGCATAAGTGGTAATTGCATGCCCTCATGTCTGCCCTACATTTCTGCCCTGCATGAGGGAACTGACCCCACGGTGAACAAGCAGATGAGAACAAGTGCCCAGGAGCACAAGATGACAAACTATAAGTTGGGGAGAAACTGGTTCTCTGAGTCCCACCGTGGAGACAGGAAGCAGCCGACCACCACTCCCTCTCGGTAGTCACAGGTGATAGAATTAAACTCCAGGCTTTCTCAGCCATCCTTCTGTTGGGTTTTCTGTCATGGTTATTTATTCGATATACTTTAAATGTATAAGATTTACAGTCTTTCAGCTTCCCCAATGTTTGATTCTTCTGCTGCTTTACAATTTTTTCTCCAAAAAGCAATCAGGGGGTCCTCCCTAGTGGTGCAG